CGCCTTCCTCTGTAGCATGGGGCACGGATCACTTGCTGGAGGATTCTCTGCATCTTGGGGTCTTCAAACCATAATTTGAGGACTTCAATATCTGAGATATAGGTGAGAGGTTTATTCCAGGAGTTGGTGGGTTAGATTCTGTGGCCTGCATTGTGCAGGGGGTCAGACTAGATGATCATAATGGTCCCTTCTGACCTTAATGTCTATGAGTCTATGGGTATAACTTATTTCAAAATAAGCATACAATGTAGATGTACCCATAAGCTGCAATGTCATTTCTATAATATATTGGGCAGATGCTGTTATGTTTGATTCATATTCAAGTAAAGGATTTTCTTCCTCGTTTCCTTTTTTTGTATTTCCTCGCTTTCTTAATGTGGGAGTGTCTTTTTTTCCCTATAGGTTAGCATATTAACAATTTCAACTTGCTATTATAGACATCAATTTGTTGCAATGGTCCCTCTTGTGGCTAGGCATCACGTTTGTTAGTTCTGTTAAAATTGGCTATCTTGGTTCTTTCCCAATTCCAAGGTGTGCTATACTTGTTGAGCTTAAAAGGGTACACATTTAGGAAAGCCCTATTCCAACGTGATGGAACACATCCTCTGTGTTAAAGGTCTCAGATAGCTATGGACCTTAGGGTTTCGCTCAGCACCATCTCTCTCAGGGGATAGTCCCAGACATATATGTGCTAACTCAGCCTTAGCTCAACGCAGAGGATGTAGCCTGCAGGTCCTTTGTGTTACAGCCAAAATATACTGTAATATAAACCTATAACCCTATTAATAAAACAAATAATCAAAACAATATGAAAATATGAAACTTATGAGTAAAGAAAGGGCTGAGCCATTGGGAACAAGCCTCCTTTTGATGAGGCGTTTTGTCACACAGGTGTGGATGGAGATGTTCAAGCACCTCTGGGATAGAGTCAATGCCATTTTTCACTACACTAGGTGGAGGAAGGGTATCAGAAAGACGAAACTCTGAGGCTGGTACTTTTCTGGAATGGTGTGTGTATATCTTTCTAGGTCTTTACTTATATTTGTTATATTTATGAGCAAAGATATATAGGAAATATTGTCTCCTTCTTTCCTATATATCTTTGCTCAGCTCATAAGTATAACAAATATAAGCAAAGATCTAGAAAGATCTCCAACATCGACGATGGCAGATAGATAGTATGGGGATGGAGAAACAAAGATAGAAACAGAGATAGACATAGACATAGGATGTGTCTACAGAGCACTCTAAACTCAAAATAAGATACATGTATCTTGTGTATCTTATTTTGATTGAATTTCAAAATAACATGCTATTTTGAGACATCCCTTAATGCTCATGGAATAAGGGTTACAGGGATGGTGAAATAGCGCATCCAATATCGAGACCTATCTTGAAATAGCGGGTGCGTTCAAAAGATGCGGAGTAGCTATTTCAGGATAGCCCCGCTGTGTAGACGTACTCATAGATATCCATCCCCATACTCTATCTATCTATCTATCTATCTATCTATCTATCTATCTATCTATCTATCTATCTATCTATCTATCTATCTATCTATCTATCTATCTATCTATCTATCTATCTATCTATCTATCTATCTATCTATCTATCTATCTATCTATCTATCTATCTATCTATCTATCTATCTATCTATCTATCTATCTATCTATCTATCTATCTATCTATCTATCTATCTATCTATCTATCTATCTATCTATCTATCTATCTATCTATCTATCTATCTATCTATCTATCTATCTATCTATCTATCTATCTATCTATCTATCTATCTATCTATCTATCTATCTATCTATCTATCTATCTATCTATCTATCTATCTATCTATCTATCTATCTATCTATCTATCTATCTATCTATCTATCTATCTATCTATCTATCTATCTATCTATCTATCTATCTATCTATCTATCTATCTATCTATCTATCTATCTATCTATCTATCTATCTATCTATCTATCTATCTATCTATCTATCTATCTATCTATCTATCTATCTATCTATCTATCTATCTATCTATCTATCTATCTATCTATCTATCTATCTATCTATCTATCTATCTATCTATCTATCTATCTATCTATCTATCTATCTATCTATCTATCTATCTATCTATCTATCTATCTATCTATCTATCTATCTATCTATCTATCTATCTATCTATCTATCTATCTATCTATCTATCTATCTATCTATCTATCTATCTATCTATCTATCTATCTATCTATCTATCTATCTATCTATCTATCTATCTATCTATCTATCTATCTATCTATCTATCTATCTATCTATCTATCTATCTATCTATCTATCTATCTATCTATCTATCTATCTATCTATCTATCTATCTATCTATCTATCTATCTATCTATCTATCTATCTATCTATCTATCTATCATCAAAGTTGGAGATAGATATAGATATAGACATATCACAGGCTGTTCAGCCTAGCAACATACTATGTATATTTGCCATTATCGATGTTTAGAACCTTCCTAGGTCTTTGTTTATACCAGCTGAGTTCATACTGTGTTTAGGGAAAATAATCCCTAAAGCAATTCTTTGGGCAGTAACCCATCCTTTTAACCCAACAACCACCTGAGTGGTTGTGAAAATTCATACACTTCATTCATTAATTGGGTAGTAGCTTGTCTGGCTTTAGGCATATCTTTAGTAATTTGAGTGAGGTCGGTCTCCTTATGGGTCCATAATTATATGAACTGTAACCCACCCCCCAAGCAAAATAGACAAGAAATGTGGGTGTAGATTGCATAATTAAATCCTGATACATTGGCTCAGATTGGAGGGTGATGATGTTTTCAAGAGCAGGAATAAGAGAAATTACTTGATTCACCAACAAAATATGTTGCCTTGGACTAAAACAAATTTGGGTTAGGATAGGACAGATAGCCAGACATTACACACAACATTAATCGCTAGGCTGAACAGTCTGCAGGGCTCATTTTGCTCTGACAATCTGATGTATAAGTGGTATTGTCCAATTATTTCTTCCCTCCTGGAGGTGGCTCTTAAGTTGTAGTTCTCCAGGGTCTATTTTCTGCTCTTCCTGCTGCTCACTGAGCTGAGGGAATTGTCTGGGAGTCCCTCCAACCTAAGAGTCCACAGGGACAGTACAGAGGAATCATAAAGGTAGCCATCCAGCAGGGTGAGTGTCAGACATGGGAGATTTATACACCGATTCTCAGAGCTCTGACTTCCTGTCACAGGACGGAGATTTTCTCTCTCTGCTGAGTGGGATTTTAGTGAGTTGCCTCTTTCTGCATTCAGGTTAGTGCTTAAGGTCTCACGATTCAAGCCAAGAATGACCTTGGATAGGAACTTATCAGGACAGAGACTTGAAATGTTGAGTATTGTCATGAAGAGCGAGGGATTTACCTGATGAAGTGGGAACTACCAATGCAATGTAAATAAGTTAGATACAGGTTTGTTTTAAGATCTGTTCTGTGCTTCTTACTGTGGCCTTCTAGCTGTCTCAGCAGTTCTTTGTCTGGTTGTGTGGGAGACTGGGTGGCTTTTCCTCTAGTATGTCCATGTTTTCCCATTTAGGAACTTCACTGCCCTGGTTGGCAGTACAGCTACTGGCTCTACCGTGGGTTTCTGTGTTACCAGAGGATTCATAACAGTAATGGTCGCACACTGGCCAGATTCTGCACTCACATTCTGTCTTTGCTGGGACTCTCCAGAGAGACATTGGCTGCCATTTTGGAATACCCATCTCTCATTCCTGGTTTCAGACCGCCAAATAAATTGTGGGATCTTCCGACATCTGGAGCACTCTAATAAAATAGCTTTCTCTGTTGCAGGATCTGAAGCCATGATTTTTGCAGTTCAGACCAAAAGTTAAACACTAAAGCCAGGTCGACATTAGACCCAGCAGATCGGTTTACAATACACAACTCCAGCTACGTAGAATGCGTTGCTGGGGTCGGCTTGCCTTGAGCCGAGCCTTGGCGGTTTCCACACAGTAGGAAGCACAGGCTGAGCTGCTGAGGGGGTTCCCCTCAGAAAGGCAGTTCAGGCTGGTCATCTCCTGGGATGATTTAGTTGGTGTTGGACTCAATGACCTTCTGAGGTATCTTCCAACCCTAGAATTCTATGATTCTATGATTCATGTGAGAGTTTTCCCATGTCCTTAATTGTTCCAAAGTGGATTGAGAGAGGCTGTTCTCAGTAGTGACGGATGGCAGAACAAGCAGCAATGGTCTCAAGTTACAGTGGGGGTGGTCTAGATTGGATATTAGGAAAAACTATTTCCCTAGGAGGGTGTGGAAGCACTGGGATGGGTTCCCTAGGGAGGTGGTGGAATCTCCATCCCTAGAGGAGTTTAAGTCTCGGCTTGACAAAGCCCTGGCTGGGATGATTAAGTTGGGGTTGGTCCTGCTTTGGGCAGGGGGCTGGACTTGATGACTCCTGAAATCTATGATTCTATGATTCTGTGATTTACACTGTCATTGCCTGACCCCTCTAGTTCTACAACATCCTATGTGAGAAGGGTATTTTCTGTACGGTTCCCCATTCCACTTTCCTGAATGCCAATAATTTGCTCCATTTCTCTCCATGCTTGCACTGTGAGCAGGATTTCACAGAGCTGCTTACCATGATGCCCAAGCCTCTGTCCTGAGTCCATACAGTTCAATTAAAATCTTTTAAAGTATTTGAGTTCAAATATTCCTCTGAACTGGGCACACGTGTGGCAGCTATTGACGCCAAAGTTCATCTGCCCTTTCACCTGGCTGGGTGAGCTTCCTCCAAGGACTTCTATAGCTTTGACTATGAGCTAAATAATCTGGTGCCATCTGTAAATGTTGCCACTTCAGTGCTTCATCCCTTTTCTAATTTGTTAATTTCTATAAAATATTTTCATTCTAATTGTATATAGTGTGTAACCCTCTTTCTTATGCTTCTTCCCTGACACAGTTACCTTGAGCATCTTTGAGCCCAATCGCTGCATTGAACACATGGTAACGTTCAACCTCACTCCTTCTGTCTCTTCAACATTCATCCTCAATGGCATCCCTGGACTCGAAGCTTCCCACATCTGGATTTCCATCCCTTTTTCTATCATCTACTTTGTCAGCCTCCTTGGAAATTTCACACTTCTGTTTGTGGTAGGCAAAGAGCAGACCCTGCACAAGCCAATGTACCTGCTGCTCTGCATGCTGGCGCTCACAGACATCAGTATGTCCACCTCCGTTGTGCCTAAAGTACTGTGTATATTTTGGTTCAACTGGAAAGACATTACGGTGGGTGGCTGCCTCACCCAGACGTTCTTCCTTCATTCAGTTTCTGTGATGCAGTCAGCCATTCTTGTGACAATGGCCTTCGATCGCTACGTTGCCATATGTAACCCCCTGAGATACACCACAATCCTCAGCAACGCACGGTTAGCTAAGCTAGGGCTAGTGTGTTTGATAAGAGCTGTTCTCTTCATTCTGCCTCTGCCCCTGTTCCTGAAGAGGCTGCCATTCTGTGCCAAGCGAATTATCTCAAACACTTTCTGCGACCACATAGCTGTGGCAAAGCTATCATGTGGGGACATCACAGTGAACAGCATGTATGCCTTGGTGATAGCGTGTCTAGTCATTGGGTTAGATCTGATGCTCATTGTCCTGTCCTACGCTCTGATCATCAGGGCTGTCCTCAGAATCTCCTCCAAAAAAGCCCACCAGAAAGCCCTCAACACCTGCACATCCCACTTGTGTGTGATGCTAATATTTTATATTCCCTGCCTATTCTCCACACTTGCACATCGATTTGGCCAGGGCATTGCTCCCCATGTTCACATCATCATGGCCAACCTGTATTTTCTCATCCCCCCCATGCTCAACCCAATCATCTATGGGGTCAAAACCAAAGAGCTTCGGGAGAAAGTGCAAATATACACCTGTCAAATGTGCTCTCCTGTGGCCACTGAATTTAAGTCTGCGTGACAAGTGTGGGAATGTTTATTCTCTCATAAATCCATGATGCTCTGTCCCACTTTCGCTCTGCTTAGCAGTATGGAAATTCACATTCTGAGAAATTCCTTGAACCCAATTACTTGACACTCCATCACCAAGCACTGCTCTTACCATTCCTCTGTTCACTATCTCAGACCATCATCTGATCTTTTTCCTCCCCCACATCTACACACCATGCCAGTTGGCCATTCCTTGACTTCCAAATTCCAGTAAGATACTGCAGCTTTCTGAAGCAAGACAGCTTCCCATTAATCCCTTTGGGTATGTCTACACTGCATGAAATAGCCCAGTATCCCGAAATAGCTACCCCGTGTCTACACAAGCCGCCCATTATTTCAAAATATGTTTTCAAAATAACAGGCGCACTATTTCACCATCCCAGTAAACATTGCATCCCGGTAAACCTTCACCATCCTGGTAAACCGGTTGCATGAGGGATAAGGGATGGCTCAAAATAGTGCATTATTTTGAAATTTGGTGCTGTGTAGACATGCCAAATTTCAAAATAGATTTGAAATAAGATATGCAGTTTGTGAAGCATAAATTGTGTATCTTATTTCGAGTTTAGGGTGCTGTGTAAATGCATCCTGTATGAACAGTGCAGGGCTCTTAATCAGTTTGGGTTTGTCTATACAGCAGGGCTTAACTCGAAATAAGCTACGCAAATTGAGCTACATCAATTGCATAGCTCATTTCAAAATAGCTTATTTCAAAATTGGGAGTGTCTGCATAGCACTTATTTAAAAGAGGAGCACTCTTCCTCTGACTTCCCTTACTCCTCATAAAATGAGGGTTACAGGAATCGGAGTAAGAAGTCCTCCAGCTTGACAGTATTTTGACATTATTTCAAAATAACTGCCTGTTGTGTAGACATGGACTAAGATATTTTGAAATAATGTTGCTGTGTAGACTTACCCTTTGACAAAGTAAAGCTATGCTTTCTGGTGGCTAAAGACAAAGGAAGCAATTACATTGCTGAACGTAGTTAACATATGCACAAGTGACTCACTGATCAAATTGTACCTCAGGAAAGAGATCTTGGAGTTATCGTGGACAGTTCTCTGAAAACTTCCACACAGTGTGCAGAGGCGGTCAAAAAGGCAAATAGGGTGCTAGGAATTATTAGGAAAGGGATAGAAAATAAGACCCAGAATATCTTACTGCCCCTGTATAAAACTATGGTACGCCCACATCTTGAATACTGTGTGCAGATGTGGTCTCCTCACCTCAAAAAAGATATTTTGGCCTTGGAAAGGGTTCAGAAAAGGGCAACTAAAATGATTAGGGGTTTGGAACGGGTCCTATATGAGGAGAGGTTAAAGCGACTGGGACTTTTCAGTTTAGAAAAGAGGAGACTGAGGGGGGATATGATAGAGGTTTATAAAATCACGAGTGGTGTGGAGAGGGCCGATAAAGAAAAGTTATTTATTAGTTCCCATAATAGAAGAACTAGAGGACACCAAATGAAATTAATGGGTAGCAGGTTTAAAACTAATAAAAGAAAGTTCTTCTTCACACAACGTGTAGTCAACCTGTGGAACTCCTTGCCAGAGGAGGCTGTGAATGCTAGGACTATAATAGAGTTTAAAGAGAAGCTGGATAAATTCATGGAGGTTAGTTCCATAAAAGGCTATTAGCCAGGGGATAAAATGGTGTCCTTGGCCACTGTCTGTCAGAGGCTGGAGAGGGATGGCAGGAGACAAATCGCTTGATCGTTGTCTTCGGTCCACCCTCTCTGGGGCACCTGGTGCTGGCCACTGTCGGTAGACAGGATACTGGGCTAGATGGACCTTTGGTCTGACCTAGTACGGCCGTTCTTATGTTCTTATGTTATATTCTTATCTTTAAAAGAAGCATCCAACCTTGATTTAAAAAAAAAAATTCTCAGTGATGGAGACTCCACAAAGACCTTTGTTCCAATGGTTAGTTACACTCATCCTCTAAAAAATGTACACCTTACTTCCATTCACAATTTCTTTAACTTCATTTTCCAGCCATGGACTCCTGTAACACCTCTGTATGTCAGACTGAAAATCTTATTATTAAATATCTGTTCCCTATGTAAGTACAGGCAGTCCCCGGGTTACATGGATTCGACTTACATCGGATCCCTACTTACAAACGGGGTGAGACAACCCCGCACTAGCTGCTTCCCGCCAGCAGACCAGGGAGATGCGAAGCTAGTGCCCCTCCTCCCCCAGCAGACCAGAGAGATGGGGAGCGGCTTTTCTCAGCAGACACCTCAGCTTGAGAATAAAGGACTGAGGGAAGTGAGGTGTGGGAGAATAAAACTGAGCTCTGGAGAAATGTTTGGCTAGAGTTTCCCCTACAATATGTACCAGTTCCGACTTACATACAAATTCAACTTAAGAACAAACCTACAATCCCTATCTTGTAGGTTACAAAGTCATCCCTTAAACCTTTCTGATAAACTAAATAGATTGAAACTGTTGAGTCTATCATTAGAAGACAGTTTAGAGACAAAGAAAATAGATATAAGCTTCAGGGGGTAGCCGAGCTAGTCTGTACAGGATAAACTTAAAAAACAACACATGGTCTGGTAGCACCAAAATAGATTTAGTTTCATGAGTTTCGATGGGTAAAACCCACTTCTTCAGATGATATATTTTTGATAGACTGTAAGGTGCCACAGGACTACTTGTTGCTTTTATAGTTGCAGACTAACACAGCAACAACTCTGAGGCTACGTCTAGACTGGCATGTTTTTCCAGAAATGCTTTTAATGGAAAAGTTTTCCGTTAAAAGCATTTTTGGAACAGAGCGTCTAGATTGGCACGGACACTTTTCCGCAAAAGCACTTTTTGCGGAAAAGCGTCCGTGCCAATCTAGACGCACTTTTGCGCAAAAAAGCCCCGATCGCCATTTTCGCAATTCGGGGCTTTTTTGCAGAAAACAAATCTCAGCTGTCTACACTGGCCTTTTTGCGCAAAAGTTTTGCGCAAAAGGGACTTTTGCCCGAATGGGAGCAGCATAGTATTTCCGCAAAAAGCACTGATTTCTTACAGTAGGAAGTCAGTGCTTTTGCGGAAATTCAAGCGGCCAGTGTAGACAGCTGGCAAGTTTTTCCGGAAAAGCGGCTGATTTTCCGGAAAAACTGGCCAGTCTAGACACAGCTTGAGACTATAGGATAGGTTAATTATTCTGGTGACTCTTCTCTAAATCCTCTTCAATATATGAACATCCAGGTTTAATCCTGGCCACTGGACCTTGACAAAGTATTCCAGCAGTGTCAAATGGAGAGGTAAAATAACTTCTCTTCTTCTCATTGAAATTCTCCTGGTTATCGTCCAAGCAACTTTTTATTTTGGCCACAGAATCACACTGTGGTCGCATGTTTACCTTATCATACCTTCATGCCCCCAAACCTTGTTCAGAATCATTACATTTTCTATGATAGTCCCCCATCATTTAAGCATCCCCTACAATCTTTGTTTCTTTATGTGGATATCTACATGGCTATTTTAGAATATACTTTGCTTGTTTCAGTGTTTACCCACCAATTCAGGGCACATCCACACTGCACTTTCATTTTGAGATAACTAGCTTTATTTTGAAATAACAATGCAAGCGTCTACACAGACAGGCAGTTATTTCAAAAAAAAAATTGAAATAATGGGCGACTTATTCCAAAATCTGTAAACTGAATTCTATGAGGAAGAATGCCTATTCCACAATAGCTAGTTCAAAATAAGGCGTGTGTAGATGCTCCAGTGTTGCTCTTTCAAAATAGAAAAAACGTCACCTGCGTCTAGACTACAGCCGCGTTCTTTTGAAATTAAATTGAAAGAACGTGGCTTTTCTTTCGACGGCGGTACTCCTCATTTCACAAGGAAGAACGCCTTTTTTCAAAAGTGCTCTTTCGAAAAAAGGCGTTCTTGAGTGCAAACAGGGCTTTTTCGAAAGAGAGCAGCCAGACTGCCTGGGTGCTTTCTTTCAAAAAAGCGGCTCACTTTTTCGAAAGAAGAGATTGCAGTCTAGATGCTCTTTTTTGAAAGAAGCATTTTCGAAAGTATCTTTTGAAAAAGCCTCTTTCGAAAGAGGCTTGCAGTCTAGATGTAGCCTAAGAAATTCCTCCCCAGTGCCTCCTGGGGTTCTGCTTTAAGATGGCATGTCTATATTAGGGAAGCCTGTCTCGGACTAATTTAGAGGCTTCCCTGTAGTGTAGATGTGCTACTTTGAAATAAGCTATTCTGGAATAACTAATAAACGCTGAGATTGCTCTGAATCAATGACCTGTCCACTTCATGGTTTACGTTCCACTATTATTTGTCATCTGCAAACTTCACCAATATTGAGACACGGGAAGTGTAAGCAGATGAGTTGCTGATACAGGTCTCTGCTTTCACTTACCAATTAACACTTGGAATGTATGTGTAAGACAAAGCTGGGCACTTCCAAGAAAGTGTCTCATGGAAAGAATCAAGGGAAGTTGTAGAGGTGTAGGTCTGTAGCCTTAAATATCGAGGCCCTGGATCTTTGATGCCCATTCTTTTGTTCTCAAAGTCAGACCAGCAGAGTAGTTTATTTCTCCATGAAGTTAAACCTTCTTTTCAACATCAGAATTGCATCATGGATCAGACCTATGGTCCTTTTGGTCCAGTGTCCTCTCTCAGCCAGTGACAGCCCCAGGTGCTGCAGAAGAAGGTGAAAGAAACCCAGTAGCAGGTGGATAGGATGTTTCAGGTGTGGCTGTCAGGAGGATGTTACTCTGGGTACATCTACAAGCTACGTCTACCTCTGGTATCCCGAAATAGCAATTCCGCACCTTGAAACGTGACCATTATTTCAAAATACATTTTGAAATAATAGGTGTGCTATTCTGGCATCCCATCGTTCCATGACGGTTAAGGGATTCGTCACAATAGCATGTTATTTCGAAATTTGGTGCCGTGTATTTTGGAATAACCTCCAAATAAGCTGTGCAATTTGTGTAGTGCAAATTGTGTAGC